GAAAAGTAAAGAAATACTATGAGAAATCAACCAAAAGAAAATTAGGAGCTACAAAACTAGAGACAAAGCAGAATCAGAAGTAAAAGAAACAAAGCAGGGATGCAATCTGGAAGGTCAATTGATAAAATGTGTAACAAGCACTGAACCAACACCAATCAATACAGCTCAGTATGAACCGAACCACAGCCTAATAACCACATCACATCCACTTTATGGACAGCACAGCATCTCCTTTTCCTCCATTGCTCCCAACAGCCATAAGTAACAGTTCATGCTACTCAAAGGGCCCTCCCTCTGCCATTCCCCTCTCAGATGTCTCCCTTTCCTCAGTCTCTTCTGTAAAGTCACTTTTTTTGCTCTCTCCAATTTGAAAGTTGGGAGGATGCAGGCCTAAATCAGGTGCCAGTCTGAGAAAGAGGCAAAACACCCATTATCTAAAAGGTCATTGCAAAAAGAAAAACTGATGTTTCCTCTTTTGTCACTGTATTTTCTGTGACATGCAATATATGCTAATGATGTTTCCCTTCAAGGGATAGCTGTAGGACTCCTATGTGCTACCATGGTACAAATATGTAACGGTAAGGGCTATCCAGCCACTGTGTCTAGTTACATTCCTGTTCTAAGGAGTATCTGTCTTACACATTGCACGGTTCTGATGTGAAGTCTACCTTTTTCCCCTCTTAAAAGAGCAGAAAAATCACACACTAGATATATACTGGATTGGCTTATAATTGGGTCCCACAGCAGTATCAACATTTGCACATGCAGTATTTAGTCAGGGACAATCCCGTCTTGAGCAGGGAGCTGAACTACATGACCTTGAGAGATCCCATCCAGTCCTACTTTTCTATGATCCTATTTGATTCTTTTTTGGCTCTGCAAGTGGAGATCTTTACCTGTATGGTACTTTGTCTCTTCTACTGGATCTGGCAGTTTGAACACAGGCCATGGAGGCGAAGACAATGACGTTTTGGCAACAAGTCTGTCAATAAGAGTGTAAGAATCAGCAAACAAAATGATATATCATCACCAGGAATCCTGATTTTTTTGTTTAAAAATCCCAAATCCTCCAATTAAAAAAATCCAAATTTCTCTGATAAAACCTCCCAAAAGCTGTACTTTTTCTGTGACTAAAATGAAATGTCACTATATCTATATATCGATGTATCAGTTGAACACAATGTTTTGATATATTTATGATTTTAATGTCATTTGGAAGCATACCCGTGCCCTCAATCATTATTGTAACAGGAGTAGCTCCCTAGGGGTTGCCATGATCTCCCCTAATGCCCCTTATCGTGTTCAGTTGGTCTATGGTGCACCCTCAATCTCACCTGCCACGTCTTTGATGTCAATTATGTAATTAGGGAGGCTGCCTCTTCGGTTTTCCTGGACACAGTTATCCTCCCGTACATTAGCCCGGCTCTGCTAATGGGTGTTCCTGGGTACCCCAGCCTTATGGGCTGTGCGTGGCTCCAACCAGCCCTTTACCACGCCCCAAGCCTTGCAGATGTACCAGACGTTGTTCAGTCAGTCTCGCTCTCTGTGCCCTCTCTGGCACTTGGGCTCTCTACGGCCCTCGTCTCGCAGCCGCATCCTCTGGCGCTCATCAACCGCTGCCCCTTTTTGCCTTGGGGCTTCTTGCTGCCCCCTTTTGCTCTGGGGCGCTTATCACACTGCCCCCTGCTCTGGGGTTACCACAGCTTTGGGGCTCAGGTGGCCATGGCCGTGCCTGGCCCCAACTCTCCTCCTTGGGGTCTCGACCCCCTGCTGGGCTCAGGCGGTCTCAGCCTTACCTGGCCTCCGATTCCCTGCTCCCCTTTGCCTCGGGGCTGGGGTCAGTACACCCCCGGATGTGGCGCCCTCTCTGGTGCCAGGGTCCCCACGCTACCATGGAGCCCCTATGAGGCCTCCTCCAACGCCATATAGCCTCACCTGGTCCTCTGGTGTAAACCACAAACACACAGCATAAGCCCCTAGGCTGTAACATAAATTCTCGCCGCTTAGCAGTAACATCCTTCGAGCCACCCAACGGGTACTCCATCTCTTCCCTAGTATCAGCCTGCTCGTGCAGTCCGGCTTCTCCTCTTTACTCACATAGGTAGCGTTCTCTCTCCCTTGGCAGCCAGCAGCCCCCACACACTGGCCTCAGACTTGTGGTTTATATATATAGGAACCAGGCCCTGGTCCTTCTGGTCAGCTGACCAGGCAGGTGTAAGTCCTTACCCTCATTAACTGGTTGGCCTGGCAACCTGCACCTGGATCCTTATCTCTGCTCTCAAAGTAGCAGGCACCTTAGTGCCCTGCTACAATTATAACAAAATTAATTCTAAATACCTATATATTTTGGCATTTGATTTTGGTTGGGTTTTTTTCAATGGAAAAAATCAATGCTCCCCCCGCCCCCTTTACTCACCAGGACACGGGTCCAGCTGCAGCTGTCCACCCCCACTACTTTGTGGAGCTGAGCAGTCCTGATATGCTAGTGCCCTGCCCATGCCCATCCCATTGCCCCTCACTCCCGACTCACAGCCCCTCAGCCCTGTCAGCGCCCCTCACTCCCAACCCACAGCCCTCTGGCCCTGCTGGTGCCCCTCACTCCCAACCCACAGCCCCCTTGTGCTGCTAGTGCCCTGCATTTCCAACCTACAGCCCCCAAGCCCTGCCCATGCCCCTCATTCCCAACACACCGGCCCCTGCCCCCACCCCCCACTCCAGCATGGACTCATCAGGGGAAGGGGGCCCTTCAGGGGCAGGGGTGGCTGCACTCTCAGGGGCAGGGGTGGCTGCGTGCGGTCTGGAGATGCTGCCAAGTGGAGACAATGACCACGGCCAGGCTGCCTAGCATGGTGTGAAATCCCCAGCCTCCTTCTCCCTCCAGCCTGCGCTAAGGCCAGACTTGCTTTGCTGCTGCTTGCAAGAGTGGGAGCCACTACAGCCAGGACTGAGACTGCTTGGAGCCCCTTGCCCTCCTCCAGCTGCCCATAGCATCACCCAAGCCAGAGCTGTGTTTCTGGTCCTCCCCACTGCACCTCAGCTGATGTCACGGGGCAGCATGTGGTGCCCCAATCGCTGTATGCGCTTCAAGCCACGCAGCTCCCCACTGCCCCCAAAGGACCCTCTCCCCCTGCTTCCTTCCTCCACTAGAGGTTCAGGTGCCTCCAGGCGGGCCCTGCTGGCAACAATGCTGAGCTGGGCTTGCCAGCAGAATTGAGCGCTGCCTCAGACTCCCTGCCCCACCGCAGCCCCAGCACCTGGACTGCTTCCCCCAGTGCCTGCAGGCACTTGCAGGCACACAGACTCCCCCACACACCCCTGCTCCACACACAGCCCCTTCAGACAGTCCAAGCCCTGGCTCTTCAATCCCCCTGTCCCACAGATTTACCTATATTCAGTTGCTGGGACTGCTCCCACCACCCTTCCTGGCTGCATGGGCACACACACGGCATCCCGACTCCAACTGCCCTTCACCCACTCCCCTTAGTGCCAAGCAGCTCCTTGCAGGCTGGAAGACTGCCAACCTGCAAGGGGCTGCAGTAACTGGCTGCCTTATTTCAGTCAGAGGTGGTGTTTCTCTGCAGGCAGAAGGGGGACTTGCTGCTGCAAAAGAGCTACGAGTCTGAACACACATGGTAGTGTAGAATCATAGAAAATTAGGGTAGGAAGGGACCTCAGGAGGTCATCTACTCAAACCTCCTGCTCAAAGCAGAGCCATCCTCAACTATAGCATCCCAGCCAGGGCCTTCTCTTGCCAGATCTTAAAAACTTCCCAGTAGAGATGCACCAATATATTGGTTCATATCAGATTGGCACCAACAAAAGGGAAATTGACATTATGGGCAATCGGCTTTTTTTGGGTGGTGTACCCAATAATGTCACAGATAAATGTCACCATGGGGGCCTTGAACTGCCCATGCCACGGCCCTCCCTTCCCCCATCCCCTCCTCTCTACAGACTTACTGGCTGGACACTGCTCTCCAAGCTGTTGGGCTGAATATTGGCTATCACAGTGGTATAACCGGCCATCAGTATCAGCCAAAAACATCTTTATCGGTGCACCCCTATTTCCAAGGATGGAGACTCCAAAACTCCTTTGGGTAACCTGTTCCAGTTCTTTACTACTCTCCTCATGAGAAAAGTTTTCCTAATGTCTAACCTAAACTTCCCTTGCTGCAACTTGAGACCCTTACTCCTTGTCCTGTCATCTGTCACCACTGAGAACAGTCTAGTTCCATCCTCTTTTGAATCTTGCTATTAAATCTGCACCTCAGTCTTCTTTTCTCCAGACTAAATAAGCCCAGTTCCCTCAGCCTCTCCTCAGAAGTCATGCCCCCCAGTCCTCCAAATCATTTTCACTGCCCTCCGCTGGAATCTCTCCAATTTGTCCACATCCTTTCTGTAGTGGGGGGGCCCAAGACTGGAAATGGTACTCCAGATGTGGTCTCACCAGTGCTAAAGAGAGGAGAAGAATCATTTCCCTCAATGTACTGGCAACACCCCTACCAATGCAGCACAGCATGCCATTAGCCTTCTTGGCAACTAGGGCACACTGTTGGCTCATATTCAGCTTACTGTCCACTGTAACCCACAGTTCCTTTTCTGCAGAGCTGCTGCGCAGCCAGTTGGTCCCCACCCTGTACTGGTGCATGGGACTGTTTCCTCTTAAGTGCAGGACTTTGCATTTGTCTTTGTTGAACCTCATGAGATTTCTTTTGGTCCAATACTCCAATTTGTCTAGGTCTCTCTGAATCCCAGCCCTACCCTCCAATGTATCTACTACTCCACCCCAGCTTGGTGTTATCCACAAACTTGCTAAGGGTGCACCCCATCCCATCTTCCAGGCTGCTGATGAAGATATTGAACATAACCAGCCCCAGGACAACCTTTGGGGCACTTCACTTGATACCAGCTGTCAACTAGACATAGGGTGTCTACACGGCACTGTATGGCGATGTTGCTATGGCACCATACTTTAGTACTTCTTTTTGGAAGTATTAAAGCATGTTGGAGTATGGGTGGTTACTGCGCCATGAGTGCAGTATACAGGTAGATTTTGCCCCTATATGCTATATTGCCGTAGCAATGCGCTATACCTGAGGAGTGTGCTGTTATGGTGACGTAGCTGGTGATTACATGTGGACACACATGGATGCTACATTGCCATAGCGTGCCATACGGTGACATAGTGCGTTGCTATGTCACTGTAGGGCGACATGTAGACGCACTCATAGAGCCTCTGAGCCTGACGACCCAGCCAGTTTTCTATCCATGTTACAGTCCATTCATCCAACCTGTACTTCCTCAGCTTGCCTGTGAAAATGTTATGGGAGCCCATATCAAAAGCCTTGCTAAAGTCAAGGTATGTCATGTCCGTTGCTCTCCCTGTATCTACAGAGCCAGTCATCTCGTCATAGAAAGTAATCAGGTTGGTCACAGTTTCATAGTTTCTAGGGTCGGAAGGGACCTGAGCAGATCATCTAGTCCGACCCCCTGCCATGGCAGGAAAGAGTACCGGGGTCAAATGACCCCAGCAAGGTGTTCATCTAACCTCCTCTTAAAAACCCCCAGGGTAGGAGCCTGCACTACTTCTCTTGGAAGTTGGTTCCAGACCCTAACCACCCTGACCGTGAAGTAGCGCCTCCTGATATCTAACCTAAACCTACCCTCTGCCAGCTTGTGACCATTATTCCTGGTCACTCCTGGCAGTGCTCGGGGGAACAGTGACTCCCCCAATGCCTGCTGATCCCCCCTGACTAGTTTATAACAGGCCACAAGATCCCCCCTCAGCCTTCTCTTTTGAAGGCTGAACCGGTTCAGGTCCCGTAGCCTCTCCTCATAGGGCCTGCCCTGCTGTCCCCTGATCAAGCGAGTGGCCCTCCTCTGGACCCTTTCCATGCTGTCCACATCCCTCTTGAAGTGTGGCACCCAGAACTGGACGTAGTACTCCAACTGCGGCCTGACCAGTGCCGCATAGAGGGGGAG